ATGGGCAGTAACATTGGCATATGAACGATTTTGTTTCTGGTTGGAGCTCGAGGTAAATTTGTTTAAAGACAGAATGGTGTCATTGAGCACCGGATGACGATAAGGTTTGTGTGATTTAGATTTTCTGCGGTTTTCACTTAGTTTTTTAAACACTGGACAACCTTTGTATGAGGCTGTGTGAGGCCCCGAACATAGGGCACACTTGGCGGGTTCTGACGGTGCATTGGTGCAATCTGAAGTGTAATGGTTATCTCCACATTTGACGCAACGTTGGGACTGGTGGCAAAAATAACTAGTGTAATAATAAGCTTGAAAATCATGGCATTGTGGAGGGGAGAGTTTTTTCTTGGGCAGCTCAATTTTGATTCTGGTGTGAAGAAGCAGGTCTAATTTGAGAATATCGATGTTGTTTTCAGTAACTTTTAAATCAATTCGAAAAAGAGGCAAAGGTATTTTAGTGGTATGATGTAGATTGTAGAATATTAGGGACCCGAATAACTTCGTGACCTATATCAGTTAGGCGGGACTGTATGTCTTCCACAGCAGTGGACGGGTGGAGGTGCCTGATAAAAACGGCATATGGTTTCGAGCGATTAGGGTAGTATGTGTGGAATTTTATCTGTTCATTAGCGATAAGGTAACTATAAACTAAATTATAATTGTTGACGCCGTCGGTGCGGATAATTAGATGCTTTGGAGTATTTTTTAAATTAATACCCGAAGGAATGACAAGGTCGAGTAGAGATTTCTTGAGCGTGTTGAATTCGTAGCCACCACTTAAATAAAAGGGAGGTGCAAAATAAAAATTTTTACTTGGAAAGGATTCCACGTGACTGGGTGATATGTTGCACTAGACTTTGGAAGGTGTTGTGATAGAGGGAGGGCTAAACACCTCCTGATCGAAAGCATTGTCCTCGGAGGGTGAAGCATAGCGATTTGGTGTGAATGTGTGATGAATACTTTACTTTGGTTTCCGCTAGATTTTGTAGGTGAAGATGATGATGATGAAGATAAGTTGCGTTTTGGGGTATTTCGAGACATGTTTTGACCAACAATATTAAGTTTGATTCATAAGTGTAGTGTGCAAAAGATAACGGACAAACGAAAACGACGTCTGTTCATGTTGGGCGATAAACGTGAACATAATAGTTATTTATATTTATTTTTTGATTATAAAATTATAATGTAATATTAGATTTCAAATTGAAGCAAATAAATTTCTTTGGGGCTATAGCTCCTCCCCCCCCCCTCAGTATTTCTTACCTTAGTTGTGCCTATATTCAAAAAGCTTGAAAATATAATACAAAGCTCCTCATAAATTGTTACAATATCAGTTAAAAATATTAAAATACATAGAAAATATTTTTTTTTATAAGCATTTAAAGTTTAAATTTTGATAAAATTTATTAAATTGAAAATTCACAAATTATTTTACAGTTAAAAATGTATACAGTTTTAAATTTTTATAACTAAGAATTAAAAAAAATAAAATAAGATTCCACGTAAGTATTTAAAATATTTATTGATATGTTAATGTCATCATTGAATAATATTTATTATAATCAATGGTATTATGGTAATACATTAGAAAATATTGGCAAAGTTGGGCAGTAACTAGTTAAAAGTTAAAAGTTGAGTTAAAAATTACTTTTAGATAACTTTAACTTAACTACTTAATAAAAAAATAGAATGTACAAAATAACTTAGTTAGTAATTAAGTTATTTCTTGTTATAAATAATTGTAACTTAACTTAGTTATTTTGTTAAAATTAAAGTAGCCTGATTGATAATTTCTTCAAGTTCTAGGGCCTCGTTCGTTATCAATTGATCGTCTATGGATGTGTAGCCTGGATAAACCTCCTCAAAGTCCCGAAATTCGTCTGAGTCCAAAACGTGAGGGTCTTCTTGTGAGACGTTACCAAAGTAGGCTTTGTTGAAACAGTTTTTAATAACTTCTGGTTTTATCTCATCGAAATATAGTAAGAGTATAAACCACATCAAGATGTTAATAATAAATATCAATTACTCTGTCGATAATAGATAAACGTTTCAACGAAATTCTTATCGCTGAATGTATTAATCAGGTTTTTTCTATTTTAAAAGGTTTGAGAAGCCAGAAATTAGAGCGTATTATGCGGGATTATGTATTATGCGGTGGCGTATTAAGCGTGTTTTTTTCAATTCTTAACGAGGTTTTACTGTAATTGTTTTATACTATATACAAATAGGTGTATACTCTATTGGGCAGACAGTGGCTTTAATTAAAATATGGTTTAAATACACTCACACTATAGTGGGCGCGGCGTAAACGTCGCGTGCTTGTGGATCGCGAAAACACCTAACATTGCATTCTCTTAGCCATTGCTCGGTTTCGTTTGCCCGTGTGGCGGAATCTTAATTTCAATTCTCTCGAATTTCTAGAATGTCCCAATTGCCTAAGAAGAGGCCACTCTGCTGCTGACTGCTGGTTTGACAAGCCAGCAGCAGCGAGGCAGAAAGACCTTGCCGATGGAGCGGCAGCCAAAGCAGCTGAAGAAGCAGTTGTTTTGGCTGCTAAGCTGAAAGCTGAGGCATCTGCATCATAACACCAGCAGTAGAAACAACACAGCAACACAACATCAACAACCACAAACAATACCACAGGATAGTACCTTTAAAGCTAACTTTAAAGAAAATAAAAACTTTTTTTTTATTAAATATTATGTGTCCTTATTTCCTCGTCATCATTATAGTGTATTAATTTGAGTTACCAATTTGTAGGTGCCTTGTAATTTAAAAATATGAGTAAATATAATGATAACGATGTTCAAAATTGAAAATAGTTCATACATTCATAGATATTAGATATAGTAACTTTAATATTGACATTTTATGTCTTTGTTTTGGAACATAGAATCGAAAAACGTTACGTTACGTTACAAAAAAACTTAACGTTACTTATTTATTTATTTAATTATTTGTTTATAAATGGTTGCCATGGATTTTAAAACTATTATAATAATAACTATTTTTTGCCGTGAAATCAGCGTATTAGAAATAGAAAAACGTTACGTTGCATCAATCACCTTGGTAACCATGGTAACCTTTGTAACCATGGTAATTTTTTTGATTTTTCCATGTGATGTTTTTTCAATGTGGTGTTACTGCAAAGACATAACATGTGGTCCTTTAATGCAGACTCGTATGCAATATGTTTGGGTGGTTTTATCAGTATGGGTGGCGTACTAGCGCGCGTAAGTAATAATGGGCCACTGTCTTACTACCACTGTCCTACCTACTTGTCTAAAAATTAAATTTTACAAGCAACTATAACCGAACGGACGACAATTTTAACCTCACATAACTCAATTGGCATTTTGTCAAGTTTAATTTTGCACTGTGTCTAGTTTTATTACTCTATGCTTTATTCTCAGTTGATAAGCCCAATGTCATATCCAGTCCATTGTCTTTTTTTAATTTAATATTTAACATAATTAGATGAATACTTTTAAAATACTCAATGTTTTTTTTTTTTGAATTCGTAATTATTAGTGGCCAACATTATAAATACATTGTGAAATTATTAATGTTTTTAATAATTTATTTTCTAAAAATGAACTTCGACATCACATTTTTATTTTTATGTTTTGCTGTTGGTGGTGGTTTATGTCACAATATATACTTGTGACGTATGTTAATTTATAATCAGTAATATATTAAATGAAAAAATAATAAAACCAGTTGGGAACATGTTTAGGATAGGTATATAATAATATATATATTTATATTATAATATAATATAATAAAATATTAGAATGTGTACAACATTATATATGATATTAATGTATACAAAATGTAAATAGTACTATAGTAGTTTATTGATTTAAAATGATAAAACAAAAATAAATACAAAAAAGTACTTTTTAATTTTTTTTGATACAATATTGATGACAAGCTATATACGCATTATTTACTAGCATTAGTATGATACAATTTCAAATATAATTGGAAACTGTCAGTTCTCAAAGTTTAAATGATAATTGTTGATTCGAGTACAGAATTCAACAAAATGGGTTAGGTACCCAACTGGCAACTGGGTAAGCCATGATCGAAACAATATGAAAACTAGTAAATTTATATAATAATAATAATAATAATAATCAGATAATTTATCCATTTTAATCCAGTTTATATTATAGTTTATATTATAAAATGTAAAACGTCCACAACCACTGATAGTGTAGTACCTATACTATATACATAACATTAAACATACGAATACACCATAAAAATATCTGATACGATCAATTTTTGATTTTATCACAGATATAGATAATAAACCACTTTTAAAATATTAGTAATGTTAAGCTTTTCAAAGCTTTGGGGCATTGGTTAAACTTCTCTGATTATTTTTAAATGTTCTATACATAATTTTAGTATTTTTTACACATTTTAGAACTAGAACTCCAGTCACAAAATTTTAAAAATTTTAAAATAAGTAATAACACCAATATTCGGGTATTGGCCAGTTGCCCCCTACAGCTGTTATCGGGATTTTAAAAATATACCAGTTGCCCTAAACCAAATGTACCAGTTGCCCTTACATGTTAATATATACTACCTATATACACAATTACAATATATAGCCCGTAAAATAGGGGAGGTAAATATACAAATAATAAATAAAATTATTTAAAATAGTAGAAAATGATAGAAAAAATTCATAATAAAAAATATAATTATAATGAAAAGCGGCATATTCAATGTGATTGTTCGAGCACCATCGACATTTGAAATTGTACGTTACTACGCGCCACTTTGGCCCGTGAAGTTGCCAGCACTGCTTACAGCTGACGAGACTAGTCGGTTGCCCGTTAGGCCGTTGATGTTCGGCCGGCGAGACTCCGTCGCCATCACTTCTTCTGTTTTTCGTTCCGAATTGGTTTGTTCGAGTAGTTCATCCCGACTTTAGTTTGAACGAGCAAAACCACGTTTTGGTACAAACGAAAAGTAAGTCTTCGATGATTTTGTTTTTGTATCCGTTCGCATCCGTCTCGCACCCAAAAGCGAGACACGGCAGATCAGCCATACAGCAGCTCAGCTACCCCGACGGCAGTTCGGCCATACTTGCAGTCAGTTACACCGACGGTCACACCGACCACATAGCAGTTCAGCTACCCAGACGGCAGATCAGCTCAGCAGACACCAGCCTGTTCCGGAGTGGTTCAATGATTGTACCCCCTTTGTCATTAATTATTTACATTGTGTCACCATAATATAAACCAATATTATAGCAATATAATTAAAGGTCTATTTATTTTAGAAACTTGTTGTGTTCACCTGGGAACGTCCAGTTGAGGTGAGGCTGCCGGCGTTAACTTAGCATTAGTACGCACGTGGCCAACATTTGGTAGCAGAGCGTGGTTGAATAAGGATCTTCTCTTCTGGCTGTTACTTGGTGAGCTTACCTCTGTTTATTATATTAAGGTGTTACTCCCTCCCATTGTAGTGTTATGATTATGACTATCGGTGGGTAACAGTAGCATTTAGTGTCAGCAGTCCGTTGATCCACGGACGTGGCATCTTATAACGTTGTTGAACGTGGATTACTATAACTACTGTAATTGGTGGTTAAATAATTGTCAACGCTTTTTATGCCATTGGCCGTTAGTACTGTGGTTGAAGTGTCAACAGTTATGTGTATATTCTTATAACTATTAGGCACCTGTTAATTATTAGGCTGTTGCATTTAATTAATTAATATATTAAAGACTGATCAGTTTAAATATTTTATACCTCAGTATTGTTAGTTTAGTACCTTAGTAGGTTTTCTCTTAACATTAATAATTAGGATTTGTTATTTATACCTATTATATTAGTGTTATTAACTTAATATTTTTATTTGGATCACACATTTTATTGTTGACCTAACAAGGTTATTATGTTTTGTTAAATTTAAACTGGTTAAAATTTCCTTGTTATTACTATTGGTATTATTACTACCCAGTACTATTGTAGGTAGCTACCACATTATTTTATTGTTTATTAGTAGTAATTTGGTATGTTATGTGAACCTTACATGATCTCTTGTTCTATTAGTTGATTATTATAATTATATTATCTACTATTCTATTGTGGGCACCAGTTAGTTGAATTGGTATTCTTTAAATTTATGTTAATTAAGTACTGATCATTATTGACGGTAGATAAATAATTGGTTAGGATTGGAATTGCTGATATATGTGCAATCACACTGGACTGTTATCTCTAGCATACCACTTATATTAGTTCTAAATTAATTTGTGTTACTTTATGCTCATCGGGTCGTTGTGTTAGCTCCCTGTAGGTGTGTGCAGTTGTTATCTTGCCACCATGTCAGACGAAGAGATCAAGACTCGCAACATAAGACTGAAACAGCGTGCTACAGCTAAGCGAGACCTTGCTGCAAGTCATATTCGTCGCCTACATGCCTCAACAACAGCAGCAGGAAATGATCCAACAGCAAGGAGTCTAGTTATGACAGCAGTTCAGGACCTGAATAATTGGTGGTCACAATACTCAGTAGAAAGTGATGCGTTATTGAACGTTATGGTTGAGTTGGACGAAATAGATCAATTTTCTCCAGATGCTGATGCTGCTGTCTACGCCTTAGTGGTAGAAATCAAATCAACTGCCAATAGTTATGAGCAGGAAGCCTCAAAGTCATCTAAAGACTCTCAACCAGTTACACAGATCAGTGATACGGCATTAATAGCAAATCCAGCTGAAGATCATCAGTCGGTTACACAAACTAGTAACGCAGCCATACTTCCAAAGACAGTCTCCGTCATGGAAACACAGTCGTCATCTCGTGTGAGTGGTCCTCCGTCTTCAGATGCCTCCTTCCGTCCTCAAGTATCAATGCGCCTTCCGGAAATCCCTCTGCCAAAATTTGACGGTGATCTCCGTTCGTGGCCAGACTTCCGGGACCGCTTTGTAGATCTTGTAATCCGCAACACGGACATTGATTCAGACAGCACCAGATTTTACTATTTACTTGGGTGCCTTCAAGCTGATGCGGGTGAAGTACTAAAAGGGATTCCGGTGACCAAAGACACCTTCCAGTTGGCTTGGAACACGTTAGTAAAGTCATACGATAAACCAAGAAAACTGGCCTCGTCAATCATTGAGGGTTTTTTGGTTGCTCCCGTATCCACTTCAGAATCGCTGGTGGATCTCAAACGTTTCTTGAGTGTATTTGATGAAGGACTAGCAATATTGGAATCGTTGCACTTGCCAGACCTGTGTTCGTTCCTGCTGTTTACCATTGCTTCAAAATCCCTTCCAACTCATACGTGTCGCTTGTTTGAATCAGATAATTCTTCGGAGTACCCATCAGTGGACAGTGTACTGGAATTTGTAAAGAATAGGGTGAGAGTGCTAGAAAATGCTGGTGGTACTTCAGGGCCAGGGAAGTCGTTTGGTGGTAGCAACAAGAAACCTAATCCAGGTCCAATGAAGCATTACAATCGCCCATCGACCAGCCAGACAGCATTGGTTTCATCTGTAAAGACCCAGAAACCTAAAGCTACTGAATCCGACAGGTGTCGGTGCTGTGGGGGAGCTCATGCATTGAAAGACTGTGCAAAATTTTTGGGATTATCGGTAGATGATCGATACCAAATTGTGTGCTCTCACAGACTATGCTTGGTATGCTTTGAAAGTGGTCATATGTCATATAAATGCAAGTCATCCTGTAGTGTGTGCAAACGTCGTCATCATGGGCTATTGCATAAGGACTCTTCTACTTCTGATCCGTCGTCCAAGGTCCCTAAAGTGGCTATGTTTGTCAGCCATCAAAATCAACTGCCATCTGTAGTACTAGCAACTGCACTACTTCATGTCCAAGATGTGGCTGGAAGTCCACAGACGGTTCGGGCCTTGATTGATGGCGGCTCTCAGATCAGTGCCATATCTGCAAATTGTTGTCAACGACTAGGTCTACGAGCTGCAAAATGGACGTTACCAGTCACTGGGTTATCAGAGTTACCTGTGCCAAGCGTTTTGGGTATTGTAGATCTACATATCCAACCTCGGGATTCAAGTCAATCTTCAATGCCTGTAAGAGCTTGGGTACTATCTTCCATAACTTCAGATATGCCCACCTCAAAACTACCGTCAACGGTTCGGGAAAGATGTGGAAATTTGTCATTAGCTGATCCGCTATTTGATGTCCCGGCTCCGGTCGAAATTTTGTTGGGTGCAGACATATACCCTATGGTCTGGTCTCACGAAACTGTCTCGTTAGGTCATGGATATCCAACTGCGTTCAATTCCATTTTCGGTTGGGCAATAGTAGGTCCACTTCAATACATAAAGGCTCCAAATCCTAGGGCTCTACCTGTTCAGATATCTTCATCAGTTGAATCCCTAATGGAAAGATTTTGGAACGTTGAGGAACCGGAAGCTGCTCCGCCCGTGTTCACTCAAGAGGGTCAGTGTGAAGAAATCTTTCTGTCAGAGATGTACAAGAATAGTAAAGGACAGTACATGGTCCCATTGCCGTTCCGTGATGGTCAACCTAGTTCTTTTCCTGGAATGCGACAAATTGCAGTTAATCGTCTGTTACAATTGGAGCGCAAACTATCTCGAGACCCTGTGTTGTATGATAACTACAGAAAGTTCATGGTGGAATATGAGTCGTTAGGACACATGTCGGAGGCAGATTCATCAGGAGTCTACTACATCCCTCACCATGCTGTTTACAAGGCCGAAGGGGAAAATATGAAATTAAGAGTGGTTTTTGACGCCTCTGCTCGTTGCAGATCCGGCTCCTCACTGAATGAGCGTCTCCATGTTGGCCCAAAGTTACAGCAAGACATAGTGGATGTCCTAACTGGCTTTAGAGTCCATACCGTCGCGTTTACCACAGATATCTGTAAAATGTACCGCCAGATTTGGGTGCTGGAAAAGTACCGCGGATACCAGCATATACTGTGGAGAAATTCTCCACAGCTCCAGATCCGGGAGTACACGTTGAATACGGTGACGTATGGGGTAAACAGTGCTCCTTATTTAGCGCTTCGGGTCCTTCGTCATATAGCTGATCATGATTGTGAGGAGGTCCCTGAAGTTAGTAAGGCGCTCAAATCCCAGACATACATGGACGACATCTGTGTTGGGGCACCATCGTTGGAATGTGCTTTATCGTTGAAGTCTGATTTAATCAAAACGTTATCCAGATCGGGATTAATGTTAAAAAAATGGTCTAGCAATGAACCGCGGTTGCTATCAGGTCTCCCGCTGGAAGACTTAGCAGGTGATCCCCTCACATTTGACCGTGGTGACGGCATTCCTGTGCTAGGTATGCAATGGCGTCCAACAGCTGATCATTTCGCATACGATATTACCGCAATCAAGTCAGTTTTGTCCAAACGTGGGGTCCTATCGGTAATCGCGAGGATCTTTGACCCGTTAGGGTTTCTATCGCCTGTTATTTTCCATGCCAAGTGTATTATGCAACGATTATGGTCTGCTCAAACTTCCTGGGATGAGCCATTACCGCCAGTCATTGCTAAGGAATGGCAACAATTCATGGACATGCTAGGTTGGCTGGCAGAGATCCGCATTCCACGTTGTATTGGTGGTTCCACCGGGATAGAATACTCGTTATGCGGTTTTTGCGATGCCTCTGAAAGAGGTTATGCTGCAGTTTTGTACCTTCGTGTGACTGATCCGTCTCAGAAGGTAAACGTGTACTTGCTCGGAGCAAAAACCAAACTGGCACCTTTAAAACCGACCACGATACCCAGATTGGAGTTATGTGGAGCTGTTTTGTTGGCTTCCTGGTTATCACGTATGCATCGGATACTTGAAGCGCATATGAAGATATCAGGTGTTTATGCTTGGTCGGATTCAACCATAGTCCTTTCTTGGTTACTAAATCCTCACGTTGCCTTGAAGGTCTTTGTGTCTAATCGCGTCCACCATATCAAGACTTTGCTTCCAGTCTGCAAGTGGGCTCATGTCAGATCTGAAGAAAACCCGGCTGATTGTGCGTCACGGGGACTGACTCCGGCAGAAATTGTAAACGCTCAGCTGTATTGGTCCGGTCCAGAATTTTTAAGATTCCCAGTCGATCATTGGGACCTCCATCCAACTACCATACCAGGTGACCAGCTACCGGAAGTCCACCCAGTATCCCTGGTGATTACGACACCAATAAGGAAAGGAGAGTGGTTTACGCGGTTTTCATCATACAGCATCATGATTCGTGTAATAGCACGACTGCGTCGAT